GAAGGAATCTCTCTGAACATCTGTGGATACTCATTTGATGCCCTGAAAGGTTAGGCTTTTTAAATTTATCAATTTGTCCTATGCAGAACAAATAAGTTGTAGACCCCAGGATTTTTCTGTCAAATTGGCTTGAATAATTGATTCCCACTAAATAGTAAAAGCTTATGTGAGCTGCGTGCTTACGGCACATCAATAGTTGCCAGCATCCCTTCCCATGCTTCACCAGGAGGATTTGCAGGGACTTCCTTCTGTGTTGTTTTTTCCTCTCCTAACCACCGGCCATATTTCAGTCTGTTTCCAGATCCTGAAAATCCCTCTGGTGCTGAAAGACCAGTGCCCTTTGCCCTCTTAATCCCGGGGCCCCATAAGCACAGTGAGGTGTTCACCCAGCAGTCTACTCATGTAAACCCAGAACTGCTTTGTGGAGTGGAGTGGGTGTGTCTTAAGGAATGTGTTTAGGAGGAACTCTTGTCCATGTTGTTCTGCAAAATCAGTTGTCTCGTTGCAAAAGCAATTCTCTGTGATGGGAGAAAGCTAGAACGCAGTGGCTCTGAGACCTCTGTCCTCTTTCACAGGACCTCATAAAAGCCATTGTGTTCTCTTCTGTTTTCTCAAATGGTTCCCATTCTCCTGTCACTTCTTTCCTTTATGGGTCACTCACACACTCCCCCGATGACTCTAAAACTGCCATGTGTCAATCAGAGCAGAGATGAGAAAATCAGGGGGAAAACTTGCCTTGTTTAAAATGGGGTAGACTTCCTTGTACAGTATTGTTGTTTCATTGTCTTCTTTTGCATGTTAGTTTCCAGCTGTACTTTATATTTGGGTCATGTTTAAGGGCAGGAAAAGGACCTGACTGATGATAAAACAAAGACTCTAAAAGAATACTGTTCCAGAGAACGACAAGGGAATAAAATTGAAATTTAGTGTGAAATATGTAAAGTGAAATTTTGTTGCTTTATAGGCTGAGTCTCCAGTATTGCATCCGGAAGGGCTTTAAAAAAGAAAAATTGTGAGATAGTTTTGATGCTTTCAGAGGAGAATAAAACAAGCAGTCTGATGAGTAATTCTTCAGAAGTTTGTGGTAAAGTAATAATAAAAATGTGGATTCTGACTTCGAAAAAGCTGACTAGCATAAATGACCATTTATAATCCTCTTTTAAAATCTCATAAAGTTTATGTAAAAAATATAATGGCCCAAAAAGTATGTCCTTGAATTTGAAGGCGTCTGTTTATACAATTCATATAACTTGCCAAAAAAAATGCAGAGTTGGGTAACTTCTCTCTGAAAATAGAATGGCCCATTTTTCCTGGCACGAGTCCTTGGGGATTATTAGCAGTCAGTCCTGAGCAGGCCTCGCGTCTTGGACCAGTGAGTGTAGATAGCACTGTGTGTCACACCCTGGCTTTCAGCAAGCCTCAGCAGAGTTCTGAGAGACACTGCACACACATCACTTGCAGTGCTGTCAGCACCTACAGCTCTGTGAGCACAGAGCCTGGGAGAGAGCAGGGCAAACACCTCTGCTTCAGCCAATGAAGGGGCACAGTGTGGAAGAGGATGCTAACCCTGGCGAGCGTAGCCAGTAGTGCTTGTGCAGATTCTTACCTAAGGAGATGCTAGGGTGATGTTTTACCTCAGGGTTACTGTGGATGGTTTTTGTGGATGGTATTTTGGAGAAGTAGTTGGACTACTCTGGTTTTCATTTGGTTGGTTGATTGATTTTTTGTTTGTTTGTTTTTAGTCTCATAATACGTCACTGTGTAGCTCTATCATGTATTTGTCTGAGTCCCCTGTGGGTAGTAGACTCTTAGATTGCATGTGTGAATACACATGTTCACATACAAACAACACACTCAACCTTAATTTGTATCGCCATTTCCTTAGAATATAGTCTTATTGTGAACATACTATGTGAAGGAAATCATAGAAGCGTCCTGTCCATTGTTGTGAAAATTCAGTGAGATGATGTCACATTGCCTTAAGTAACACCGGACTGTCAAAGGTCAAAGGTAGTATGCTTCTTGTTTTCATTGTCTCTGTCTTTCTTGCTAGACTTTGAGCCTCTAGATAAGGATTTTTGTTAGAAAAATGTTAGTGACTCAGCTCAAAGTGGCTTCAACAGTAAGGAAGTCTATTATTCTCTCCTAAGCAGTAAGGAAATATCGTTGCCATAAACCCAAAGGAGAGAGTCCAGAGCTGGTTCACTCTGGAGCTCCCGTCTTTCTGTGTATACCATCCTCAGTGAGGTGGATTCTCTCAAGGTTGTCCCGTCACAGGTTGCAAAGCTCCTAATGGTCTGTATTCCTGCATCTCATTCTAAGCCCCTGGCAGATTTACCCTCACATTTCATTTAGCATCATTAAATATGTGGAATAGGACTAGCATGGTTGGCTTAGACTATTGTTTTTCGTTCCTTTGGACCCATCAGAGGTAATGTATTTTGTACTGTGGTCATGTTACCTGTTTGTTTGAGACTGTGTATCTGTCACTCTGTACAAAGAACTCTGATTTTTAAAACATGTCCTGAAAATAGTCTAATAACTCCACCACCTGCTGTGGTTTGTGTATGAAATAGATGGCAAAAGGCACGTGTAGTGAAGGCTTCATCCTCTGTCATAAGAGTAGTGTAGACACAACTACAAGGATGAGGTTGTGGGGCAGGGAACACAGGGGTGTCACCGCTGTTGTATGTTGTCCTGGGTCCCTTTCCATCTCTCTTTGCTTCCCAATTGCTATGATATAAACTGCTTTGCCCTGTTATGACCTCCCCACCACCCTGGAAACCATGAGCTGAAACATATACTCCTCTAAGCTGTTTGTATCAGGTATTTACCAGCATGTAGTGTAAAAGCGACTAACAGCATTGCAATGTATATTTAGTAGCAAAACACAAAAATACTAGGAAAGATTTAATGTGGGTGGGCTGTTGGTGAGCTTTTTCCAGTCTTACGTAAGTGAGGGCAATGCTGTGAAGCTACATGGTACACTCAAGCTTTGTTCATTCGCTTGTTAGATTCACACTCATTGTACCTGGTGAAGTAACATTAATAGTAATTGGTCTGCCTAAGAGTCATTAGTGTGCCCAATACTCAATAGAAACTTACAGAAATGCATGAATAGTAGAGTTCAGGGATCACTAGAAGCCATCACTAGCAAAGTATGTAAAGATGAGGCAACTAAATTTAGTTTATGATCCCAAATTGAATTCTGGATGAGTAAAACAATTGTCTACAAAAATGATTAGAATACATCAGAAAACTTGAATACAGGCTGTGCATTAGATAATTTTGTTGTGTCAATAAATTTCCTGCTTTCAATAGTTGTTTTGTGAATGTGTGTGGTAATGTTTGCTATTTGGAAAATGCACTGGGGTATCTGGTGGAAGATTATGAAGAAGTTCTTCTTGCTTTTGTGAACTTTTCTGGAGAGACAAATGTTTATTCACCCAGATAGGGCACTAGCGACAGACCAAAGCAATGATTCCACCCATGATGAGTGCAGTGAACCAGTGAGTTTCTTTACTTAGGCCCACTCACAGGAGCTTGCCTGATGCCCAGACAGTGCATCCCTGACAGTCGTCACCTAAACATGGGTGACAGCGTCCCCATAACTGCATAGATAGGACCCCCACTAAACTCCCACATGCCCTCCAAAGGCAACTAAGAACCCAGAGAATTATTATATCAGCTGGGAGGGTAAGAGCAAGAAGTGCTCCAGCTTCAGTGCCCTGATCAAGATGGTGGGGACATTCTGCTCTGAAGCTAACATTCTACACTAATGCTATAAAAGTTAAAATGCCATAGATTGTTTGCAATTTTAAAACGAGTGTATCTGGTTCTTGAGTTCATTCTTATTGAGTGCATTATGTGTGTGCCATGGTGCGAAGTAGGAGTTTTTAAAGTTAAAAATACCTTATTTTTTGTTTATTCCTAGTCACTACCACAATTGCAGGGAAGTACACCTTTACTTATTGAAAAGGACAGAGCTGCAACAGATAAGGACTCAGAAATGTATATCTAATGATACTACATTGCATTAACCAATAGCTGCACCTTTTGCAGAATGGCTCCCACCCCTTACACAAGAAGGGTTCCTAGTAAGCTGCTGCCATTATACTCATAGGATTTGGTTTACTAGCATTGTGTGCACCCATTTTCATAAGGCATTTTCCTGCGGTGTCTTTGTCTAGCTTTGGTGTTAAGTTAGTAATGACCTTGTAGGATGAGGTAGAAGCTGCCCTTCTCTAATTTAGGAGATTTTGAGAAGTATTGACAGTAATTATTCTTGGAAATGTTTAGTCACATTCAACAATGAAGCACCTGAACACAAGGTCTTTTTATTGGAGGAATTAGAGTTTGAATCTCCTGATAGGTCTTCTCAGGTGTTCGGTTTCTTCTAGGGTCAGTTCCTAGGGAGTTTGTTAATTCTTTTATTCCTTTGTAGTTTAATTTATAATGGCTGGCAATGCACTTTTTGCATTATATAGATGTCTGATTAAGTTTTATGTAAAGTGACATTTTAATGGCACAAAATTAAGCCCCCCATAAAAAATGCCTTGCTTTATATATTTGATATAAAATTCACTTTTGATGATAATGCTTCAAGCACTCTGGTCTGCACCTTTACCATTATTTGGTATTTGCCACCAGTTTTATTTCAATATTTATGGTTGGAATACTATAAAATGTTTTTGTTTGTTTTTAAATTTTGAAGTTTTAAAGCTGGCATCTACAAGAATATCATTACCTAAGATACACCTTCAGTCTATCAGGTTTTTTCCCTGTTTCCTGTGTAGTATATGAACGTGTATGCATGGTTTAGAATGGAAACAGATCCCTTAATTTCAGCTCAGTTACATCTGTTAACAGTGTGCTTAAGAGGAATAAAGGGATTTCCCATGGTGTGTGTTAGTCAACTATCAATAAATATGGGCAGAAATAAAACAGTCTGCGAGTGGCATGGCTTCGTTTTGATTGCCACTTCATCTTTGTCTTTTCAGCATGATGTGTCCCAGACTTTACTCAAGGCAACCCTGGACAGCGTTGTGGAAGAATGTGTCAGCTTTGTGGGAGTGGACATCAACATCTGTTCTGAGGTTTTGTTACGGTGAGACAAGAGTTTCACTTGCTAACTAAGAGAAGGGGGTGTGTGTATATAAAGTTGTCAAACAGAAAATCTATAGGTTTATATGTTCCTGTAGAATACCCAGAGAGGAAGGTGTCATTTAAAGAAAGAATTGCAAAAGTTCACATTATTATATTTAATAGTGCGCATCTGAAATAGTTCATGGTAACCACTGATTGCATCAGTGCTGCTGATAGAACTTCAATAAGGTTAGTGTGGAAAAGTGCCATTGTCCCCAGCTGCAGAATAGATGCCTTTCACTAGCCTAGACTCTTGCATGCACCTGTCAAAGCTGAAGGTAACCAAAAGGTGAGGGCTTCTGAAGGTCCAAGGTATGACACATGTCACCTGTCAACACTGACTGACTGTTCTCATGGCAGTTATAGAAGAATTCCTCTTTCTTTCCTTTTCCTTAATTTGCTTCACACTCTTGCTCTGGGTGTGCAGGTCTGCTGGTGCTCCAAGAAGTTCCTGGATCTAGACACTTCTCACCAAAACTATGTTAGTGGAAAATACCCTTTACGTTCTAAGAGACCACCTTCCTACCAAAGCCATGTGAGTCATAATTCCATGCTTGGAACTGCACAGTAGAATTAGGGTTCTCTGTAATAGTAATCTTTTAATGAAAACCAAACAAACTACTTATTGATACAGTTTTCATGCCTTTATGCCAACCATGCCATTCACAGGGAAGCCCTCCCTGTAGCTCAATTTTATACATCAGTGGACCCAGCAGACTGGAAGAGTCTAGTAAGGACTGCTAACCAAAGCCCTTCTCTAAACTGAGCAGAGATGGATGCACTTTCCCTGGGTCAGGAAATGCAGAGATTGTGAGCCATGTGGAGAAGCAGATGCTCTCTCTGTTGCTGCCTCTGTTCTGCTGGTATCATGAGTAGCAACTGGCTTGTCACTGCTTTGCATCGTCTCCTGCCCTTCTTTGATAAATGTAGACATGTGGCGGTGTGCAATTGCAGTTGATGTTACGGTGCAGGTGACTTGCACCACTATCTTTTTAGGTGAGATCTTTCTTTTTTCTTACTTTATTTCTATTGTTTTATGTTACCTTTTTACTTTTTAGGCATATTTCAGGACTTAATGCCAACAGAGCCAAAAATATCATTGAGTGGCGAGAGAAAAATGGGCCTTTCATCAACCGAGAACAGCTGAAGAAGGTAAAGGGACTCGGTCCAAAGTCCTTCCAGCAGTGTGCTGGCTTCATCAGAATCAACCAGGACTACGTCCGCACCTTCTGCAGGTGACTGGAAAGCCCACAGCTCTGATGGTGTTGCCAGCTTTTTCTGTTGTTCTTGTTACCCCCCCTGCTGGCAGCTAAGTTCTAGATGCCCACTGTCCGTTCACTACCCCATAGGGGTTGAGTATGTTCTGTGCTAGGCTGGGAATACAGTCAGTAAGGCAGAAATTTGCCTATTCTCATGCAGTCATATTTTAATGCTTGGAAAGGACAATAAGCCAGCCAGTAGAAGAAGTAGTTTCAGATGGTAAATAAGTGCTGTAAAAATGAAGGGATTTGGCATTGTCCTCAGGAGTCAAGCAGCTGCTTTGGGTGTATTATGTATCAGAAAATTATTTAAAGTAAGTTTTTGAGTGAAATGAAGGAGCCAGCTGTGCAGGGATCAGAGCAAGCGTCGAGTGTGAGAAGTCTCGTGGCAGGGCCAGGGTTGATGTGTTCAGAAACAAGGCTCACCGCATGACAGCAACATGGCAGGAGAAGGAATAGTAGAGACTTGATCTCTCCACATTGCACTGCTGGCTTCACATTGACCACCAGTCACCAGTTGTGTAGGCTGAATTGAATCCTTCCCTTTTAGTCCAAGTTGCCCAGAAGCAAAGAAATTGAATAAACTTAGAGGCGTTTTATAGACATGAAGGAATAGCCTTTATGCATCTGCTCCTTTGGGAATTCCTGGTTCATTGAGGCATACTTCTTTCTCTTCACAACATTGTAGTAAAGCTCATGCAGAAACAGTTTCATTCTGGAATAGGTTAAACTAACATTAGCCCCATATGATGGTAGAATGCAAAGCCCAGTTGTGAGTGCAATAGTGAAACAGTTGGATTTTGATAAGTGAAACAGAGTAAAACCTCAAATCCACTATATCATAATTGGAATTTAGCTTATGATGAGGTGACATTTCATATACTGGTAGAAGATAGATCTATAAAATCACAGAAAAATGTAACCCAGAGAGTTGATGCATGAAGTAAATTCCAGGTAGCTCATAGAGTTCTGTGTAAAGAGGGCAACTGTAAATCGACAGCAAAAGGCATGGGGGCTCGAGCAGAACAGGACGGTAGGACTTCTTCCCGAGCAGATGGCAAAACCCAGAAGCTGGGCCTGATGGGGCAGCTCAGTCAGTGCTGCAGAACAAGTACGGAGACCCAAGTTCCAGTCCCCACACCACACTAAAGCCCAGGTGTTACACACTGCATGAAGATGCACTGCTGTGATTGGGGCAATAAAAAGCCAAATGGCCAAAGCTAGGCAGGAGGTATGGCTGGGAGTTCTGCAGAGAGAGAACCCGGGGAAGAAGAAAAGGGGGGTTGCGAGCTAGATGCTGTGGAAGCAGGACGGTCAGTACAGAGTAAAGTAACCAACCCTTTAAAAGGTATGGATCAATTTAGGTTATTAGAACTAGTTAGGAACATGCCTAAGTTAAGGCTGAGCTTTCATAATTATTACTGTCTCCGTGTCATTTTTTTGTGAGCTGGCAGTCCAGAAAGAAGAGACCATCCACACCCAGGGAGGCTCGCCCTATCTTTAAATGATATGTTTGATTTTACTCTTGGGAGCCATTGTCTTTTCTCAAATAGATAGATATACTGAAGTGTCCTGTTGATGTGCCAGGGGTGACTCTGTCTTCGTGGTCTCATTCTGCATTCAGTAGGTTCTGTTGGGAACTTGATTGTCCTCAGCTCTGAGAAACCATCTTTGCCATCTTACTGTGATGGTGATGATTTTATTTGTTTCTTCATTTCCCCTAGAATGCCAGTTGCAGGGACTGAATCATAACAGAAAATTGTATTGATAGTATTTTAAGTCAAGTGTGGCAGTGTCTGTGAAGTGAATGGTTGCTGTGTATGTGGTTTGCATAGCAGAGGACTAAGTGTGTGTTTAATTCGTGTTTCTTTACTTTTCTGCCCCACTTCCTGTTTTCCTCATGATTTTTCCTGACTACCGTAGTCAGCCTTTTGACTCTTCAGGCCAGAGCCAGGGAGCTGCCTCTCTCACCAGTGAGAAGCTGGGCAAAAAGAAGAGCAAAGCAGATGTCACCCTCACACCAAACCCCCTGGACCAGACTTGCATCCATCCGGAATCCTACGACATAGCAGTCAGGTGAGCCAGGGGCCAGCTCCAGAACTCTGCATGTGCACAGTGAGTTCCGTACAGCGTGGCCTTTGGGTGGGCATAGTGGCCATGCTTAACATGACAGCAGTTTTCAGAAGTTCCTCATTGCTGAGTTAGCCACATTATTTTATTGTTCTTGTGGAGCCGTGTCAGACCAATAAGTCCTGGTTCTAGGGAGAAGTCAGTGGACTGGTAATTGCATGGCATTCTCTATTTAGGAAATTAGCATGACTCAATTGACTGGTACCTGGTGTTAACTTGAGCTATTAGAAAGACAAAGCCTTTTTTAAAATTATAGACAGCCAGCTTTCCCACAAAATTAACATCTGTTGGATTGTTAGAGTCTAATGTACTTTTCGTGGGGACACATTAACAGAGAGCAATGCTGAGATTATTTTAATACAAGAGAAGCTTGATATAAAGTGATTAAAGGAAATGACTTTAAAATGTTTTGTTATGTTTATTTATTTGTATGTACATGTGGGGAGTGAGATTGGAGAATAACTGGCAAGAAGAATCAATCAGCTCTCTCCCCTTCTACCATGTGAGTCCTGAGGCCAGAACAGTCACCAGGCTGGACAGCAAGACTCACTCACTGACCCATTGTACTGACCCCAAAACAACTTTCCATTGCATGTTTAATTATCTTTAAAACTCTCAGTTCAAAGCCCATGACTTGATACATAACCAAAAATTCCTAAGGTTCTGACTGAGTAATACAGTAGTGGATTTAGGACCCGTTTGCTTTAACTTTCATTCTAAAATATGGGATTTATAGAGCGCTTTGAAGTCACTTGTATTTGCTCACTGTGGTAAATGCCATTGGCTTGTTTCCTTCAACAATGTTTGCTGTTATAAAGATTCAGGACTAACTGAGAAAAGCAGACGTGAAGCTTGTCCACCAATGCCACTGCAGTCTGTCCTCCCTGTGTTTGATTGTGAGACTCATTGACACATGCAGAGAATTCTTCTCTGGTGCATCTAGATATCAGCATACCAGTGCACCTGCTTTTCTGTGTGTCCATCCATATCTGTCTATCTGTTTACCCATGAGCTTATTTAGGTACTGAAATAAGAACATTGCAGACTTCAGTGTACTTTTCACTAATCTCTGTGCATAACGTAATAATTCTTATGATGGAAAACATTTAACTGGGGAGACTTGCAGTTCAGAGGTTTAGTCTGTTATGATGGTGGGCATGGTTGCATGCAGGCAGACACAGTGCTAGAGAAGAGGCTAAGAATTCCACATCTTGATCCAAAGGCAGCAGGATGTGAACTGAGTGTCACAGTTAGTGTAGCTTGAGCAAAGGAGGCCTCAAAACCCGCCCCCGCAGTGACACACTTCCTCCGATAAGGCCACATCTTCTCCAACAACACCACACCTTGTAATTGTAACACTCTCAATGAGCTTGGAAATGGGAATGTTTAATGAATATGAATCAGTGTTTTTCTTCCTATTATGTAAGATGGCTCTTCTTTTAATACCCTCATCTCAGGGAAGCCTGGTGTTTCCTTAATTTTTCATATTACTTATGGTTCCAATATTTACTCCATGGGTTTTGTTGGTGTGGCTTTATTCACCTCCTGGAATGTGGTAGGGCCTGGAGAACATAAAGATGAGTAGAGGTATTTATTGTACCTATAAAGGAACACACTAAAACAAGACAGAATTTAAACTCTGGGGCAAGGAGAGCTCATTTCCACACACAGTTGTCTTTTAGGTTCATGTAGATGGGGGAACAAAAAGAGGAACATGGTGTTTAATAGGTTGGAGAGTAGAGAATGTAGTTAAAGCTAATTTAAGGAGTTATTGATAGACCAGTGAGAACAAACATTCATTGACTGCTTCCTCATTACCAGGCATTTTAGATGGACCAGGGTGTGTATACCTCACAACAACCCCAGGAAATTGGTGCTGTTGCTGTTCCCATTTCAGGCTGGCCAAGTCTCAGAGGGAGAAAGCAAATTGCCTGACATAACTTAGCTTAGGAGAACCAAGATTTAAGATGGATGTACCATCACTCAAAGCCTAGGCTGTTAACTGGATTGTACTTTTAAAACTGGAGCCAGATTTGAATGCTATCAATGTGGTCGTGTCTTTTAAAAGTGTTCTCTGAAAGACAGTGGGTGGTGTTCACAGAAAGTAAGGTGACCCCTTAGCATAAGTGAGTATTGGGAGTATCTGCCTTGGGTTGTCTTGTATCCTTGGCTAATAGCATCTGTCCTACCTCTCAAGAAGACATCCCCCGTCTCCTAAGTGAAGCTCTGCCTATTTGTTTTATTGAGGGGTCTGCATGAAATAGGTGTTCTCAAGAGCAGGGGGAGTTTTATACTGTCTGCTCAAGATGTGTTTCCTGGATGTTGCAGGAAAAAGAGCTTCTTTGCCTTGTACTTTAGAATAAGTAAAATAAGCAAGCCATTAGTGCCCACATTTATTTGCTTTCTTCCTTGCTAAGAGAAGAAGCTAGAGGAACCTAAGCAAAAGGGGTTTTTCAGAAAGTGTGAGGACTGATGGCATTTAATGAAACATTGTGGAAGAACTCACACCCTAGAAGATAGAGGTGAACCTAGAACCTGAAAACCAACATTCTGTCAGCCCTTTAAGGACACTGTCTTCTGTTTCCCTTTAACTTGTTTCCAGGTCGTTTCCCACTCACAGGATGACGTCAGTCCTTCCTCACGGAAGCACTTCAAGCTACCCCACACTCTCTTCTAGTTGGACCCTCTCTTTATTCATTCTGCCCTCTCTTTTCCTAGCAGCTCTGCTTCGGGATTCTGTTTCCACCTTCACTCCTTCCATGCCACTGCTGAAGACTCTTAGCCCTGGCTATTGTAGTGGTCTGACTGCCCTACCTCTAAAGAAAGTGAGGAAGTAACAGCTAGATGAATAACGTGTTTTACTGCTATGAAGTTCTAGGACTGCCCCTATACCTCTTGTCTCCTCCACCTTGCTTACTGATTTAGCTCAGACTTCTTAATGCTTTGACCCAGTGGCTCCTATGGACAGCTAAGAGCTACCCATTGTGCCTGCCTTTCATTGCCGAGTGTCTTAGAAGTATCTACCTCTAATTCTTACTCTTCTCTTCCTCTCATTTTTGTTTTCTACCTTATTCATTCCTCTCTTGAAATTATATTCTTAGAGTGGGTGGCAGGGGATGGGAGAAGGGGAGGGGGGAACTAGGGTATATAAAATGAAAAATAATTTTTAAATAAAAAATAAATTACTTTCTTACCCAGTGACCTGCTTATCAAAACCATCCTTAAACCACTTGCTGTATTTGACACCATCAACTTGAGTCTATCAGAAGGAATGGGTCTTAATATTTAGTAAGAACAGTAGCTAGGTTAAAAGCTGGAGCATAATCCCAATGAAAAGGCTGCTATGTTAGGTATGGACTGTAAGGACAGTGGAAGAAACATGGAGACCAGACAGACAAAGTGCAGTGTCCAAGTCAAGAGATAATGCTGACACCCAGACCATAGGAGCCGTGCTGAGCCATGTGCACATTCTCTGTGGGTTTTGAGAATGGAGCCATAAGTGTCACTGACAGATTACATGAAATACAGTAATAAGTTATGGGTGACGAGAACAATAGGGACACCAGGGACACTTGTGGAGGAGATGCAGAAGGGAGATGTAGAAAAGATACAGAGTGATCACTGCCCCATGACCTCTTCACTCCCAAGACTTTGAGACCATCACTGTGCCTGGCTCCTAAACCTGCTCATATTTTAAACCACTCTTCTACAGCTCACACGGCATCCAGCTGCCTCCTCGGCAGCTCCAGTCCAGCATGTTTAAAGTTGAAAGCTGGATCTTTGCTGAACTCTTGCTCCAGCCACAGCCTTCTTCATATCAGATAGTTTCTGGTCATCCTTTCAGCTTCTCAGGTCAAAGGCTTGGACATTGTCTCGTGAGCCAGCTCTTATAAGTCCTGTTAAAGATACCTGTGAACTCCAAATAGCAGCCACTTGCTAACTACCGGCCTGCAGTCCAGCATCTAAGAGTGCTATGTGCCCCTTCAGTGGTGGACTTCTTGAGAACATCAATCATCTCTATTCATGTTTCTGTTCTACACACCCTGTTGCAGTATGCTACACACCCCAAATGATGAATAAACTCATCACCAACAAAATTCATCTGGTAAATGCTGGAATCATTAAAAAAAAAAAAAAAAAGGTAGGGGCTGGAGAGATGGCTCAGTAATTAAGTTCTCTTCCGGAGAACTCTCAGTTCCCAGCACCCACATCAGGTGGCTACAACCACCTGTAACTCCAGTTCTCAGGGATCTCTTGGCCTCGGTGAGCAACATGCAATGCACATACACGCACACATAAAGACACACATTCATATACATAGATAAAAAGCAAGAAAAATAAGTCTTTAAAAACAGATATTGAACTGATCTTAGAGGTCTTTAAAAAAGACTCCTTTTGCATAAAATCAAGAAAAAAATGAATTAGATTTAAATTTTGTCATTAAGCACCTTCTTCTGATTGTATTTTTCTCCACTTTTTCTTACATATTCATAATAGACTTGGATGGCAAAAAACAAACAAAAAAATCCCACAGTGTAATAGCGTAGTTAAAGTTCTAACCCTCTATAATTGTTCTTGAACCTTTAACATAGAAATGCATCTGAAAAGTTGCATGAGATTTGTTAGGCTGGTAGCAATTCAATTAAAGGTTGGTTATTGGAGGCTGTGAGCTCCAGGTAGCTAGAGACTATTGGAACCCGGCTTACCCCTGTACCCAAAGCACCCACCAAAGACTGACCCAGCAGTGTGAAGGGATAAATGGCAGAATGGAGAGTGAAAGCGCACTTTTAGAGATCACCGAGGAAAGGAAGCCATACGAATGACCTTTCACAGAATAAGGCGTAATTTTAGCTTTGTTCCAACAATTGATTCTGTAGTCTAAAACTGCTGAGATCAAGGTACAAGCAGAGCTGTTGCTAAAACACACTGGCTCATCCTCTCCCGCC